AAGTTTTATGATTACTTGTTTTAATAATAATAATTTTAATAAATCAAAGATAGTTAATATTATAAGTCAGCTACCCGATCCAAATTGTTGGAGAATGACTAAATTTTCATTATTAATTGTTTACCATAATATTTTATCGGTATGAAGTCTCAATTAAATACCATCAGAAAAAATTTAGGTGACGATAGCAATTAAAATTTGTTTAGACAGTTATTATTAGAGAAAGATGTAATTTTTTACTCAGTGTAACTTTTTTCACTGACTGAAAAAATATATTTCGGACAGCCCAGACCAGAACTTGAACCTGGATCTTTTGGTTACGCGCCAAATGCTCTACCAGTTAAACTATCTAAGACCTATCCGCAATTACTTTTCAGTTACCTATTAAGTTAGACTAAGTAATTCTCATTTGGCCAAGAATTTTTGATGTATATTTAATATATGAAGATCGGTGTCTTAAATTTAATAAATCAAAGATAGTTAATATTATAAGCCAGCTACCCGATCCAAATTGTTGCAGAATGACTAATTTTTCATTATTAATTGTTCACTGATGATACCAAATTAAACTATTAAAATTTCTTTAAAAATAATAATATGCTCGTCACAAAATTTTCCTTTCTCTATCAATTATTTAAATCATAAATAACTATAACTAGTAAAATAAGAAAAGTCTCAGACCACATGTAATTGTTGGCCGAGGCGAAGCCGAGGTTGACAAATATGTGGTCTGAGGCTTTACTTTTTACTGGCCGAGGTGTGTATACTATTTTTCTGCTCGACGTAGCCGGAATGTGGCAACTTTATTTAGCGCAGCGGCCAGAAAGTTGCCACTTTTCGGCCGGAGGGCAGAAAAATAATTATCTATACTTAGTGCTATCTAATATAATATGTAATGTGGAAAGGTCAGACTAAACACTAGTCAGCATTGATGCCTATCATCCTGCCTTGATTATTGATTTCAGCTTGTCAATAAAACTGGATAAAACATGTGATGAAAATGTAATTCGTCATAGGTATAATTTTAAAAAATTTTGATAAGTCTAGTCCAGTAACTGCTATATACGAAACTGACTAGTCTGATCTTTCTAACAGTTTTGAACCTGTGCAATCTTTTTCTATAATATGAAATTATCTAAGATCTCTAATGTGTCGCCAAGCTACTTATTTAACGTTAAATCTATGCATAAATATCATATTGAATATTAAATTATTTATTAAATATTATATTCGATGTTAAATATTATACTAGTTATAGGACATCTTGTTAAGCTTTGTAAATATATAAATTTATATTTACTTTATGTATAATTCCATTAACCCTGTTAATGGCGCAAGCTGTTGGGTTTGTTTTTTTTTTTCAATAAAATAAAATAAATATAAAATAAAATAATAAATAAACTATTTTAAAAAAGCATATTGACATTCTAATTAGCAAATTGTTTAACTCCATTTTAGAGAATCTTCTATTTGTACGAAAAAAACAATTAGTTAAAAATTTATTATCACTTTAAGAAACCATTTAATATCTAATTGAGATATAATATTTAGGTTCGAATCATTCAAATAATTTACAATTGGATTATTGCTACATCAAAATGTTAAAAAATCATCCTCTAAGAAATAAGGAGTTAGACAAATTGCTAATTAGACCGTCGATATGAAACATTGAAAAGGTACAACTTCAGGTCAAGACCTTTCCAACGATACCAAATTCAACCATAAAAACCCATTTTATCATATAAATACACTGACCACAAAATTACGCTTATTCTCTTAATTATATAGACAATAATGATAATAATAATAATAAAAATTTTAAACATTGTGATTTATACAATAGCTCAGTATTATATGTATATACAGAATAGTAGAGTAAAGTAAGTAGTATATATCCTGGTAGTATACCGGTAGAGTTTCTTATTCATATTCGCATGATAGTGAAGCGACAATGCGGCTCAAGAAGTTGGTCTTGTTAGCCCGAGATAACAATACGGCTCACATACATTTACCCTTGCACTTACACAAGGGAATATCGTAGTTAGTAGTCAGTAGTCAGTAGTCTGAGTCTGAATCTGAGTCTGGGTAGATTGAGATGTCTGATAAATATTGAAATGAGTAGAACAACCTCGGTCCCGGCTGATGACAACCTGATACTTTTATCCGGTTGAAAACGATTCCCATATTTTTTCTCCCTCTCAGCCATTTTCGCTATTTTATTCTCGGATTTCTTTCTTGATTTTTGCTCTATAATTTTACCTTTATTCTTTTTTATTTTTATTTTTCCTTCTTCATCATAAACTCATTTTACTTTTCTTATTTTCCATTAACTTTCAGTAAAATCTCGTGAAGTCGTGTCGATTTTAGTTCTCCGAAAAACCGACATCAAATCTCAAGCTCGAGATGCACTCTACAATCACCCTGCCTTAAAAGAGGAAAAGAGAAACCCTGGGATAAAGGGAGAAGCTGGAGAAGAATGTCCTGGGATTCTAAGGAATGAGTGGCTTTGAGAAAAATCCTGTTCATATCGATAGAGTCACTGGGAGATGGAAAATAAAATAAAGTTTAAATGAGGAGCTGAGAAGGGAGAAAATAAAGAAAACATGACGCCTCTGATCTACACATTCTCGGTACGTGGTAAAACCGAGTGGGTCTTGTAAGAAAAGACGGCGGTTGAGGTGAAACCGTATATGTTGAACTCTGCTGAGGAAACAAGACCGGAGCATGAGATGTCGAAATGCTGAGCCGAGTGAAGAAAGGTGAAATAAGAAGTAAAGAAGAATGAAAGTGCTTGACGGGGAAGAGGAAAAAAGAGGAACTATAGATTTGGATAACGACCATCCATACGTCGGTTTTACCAGCGGTGGTGCCAAGTTACTGAGGTGAGCTTTGCACAAGGTTATCAGTCACGTTTTTTCGACGAATTCCGTGGTCAAAAAATTGTTTTGCTTCGTTTTTCTTAAATCTATAAAAATATATAAATTTTGAATTTATTTTTTTATTATTATTTAGTTACACTTCCCATTGAAATGATATTTTTTATTGAATAATTTTTTTTTAATTAATAGAACCAATATTTCAATTAAAAATAATTCTACTGTTTTAATCAGAAATGGTTGAGTTAAAATTTGTTTATTTTTTAGTAAGACAATTTTTCAACTTTACATCAGCCTTTACTCACAATTATGATTTTAAAGACGTTTACAATTTTTTTTTGCAAGAATAAATGGTCTCACTACTGTCGAAACTCCTTAAAAGTTGATCTCTAAAAATAAAAATGATTTTTAATTTTGTATATTGACATCTCTATAATCGTAATCAAGTTTCTGTTGAACTTAAAAAATATCAAATTAGTCAATCAAAAATGTAATTATTACGTTTTATTTATTTAAATAAAATTAATAAATAAACGATTTGTAATGAATTATTATTATTTTCTCAACTAACAAAATATCGACAAAATATGAATTTTATGAGATTAATTTGATGTCTATTGGTTTAATAGTTTTATTCGGTTTGGCATGTCTAGAAAAGGTACCTTCATTTATCAGTATAAATATAGATTAATCAAGATATATTATATTTAATTTATTTTTACGATAGCTTCAAAAAATTGAAATAATATTATAAAAACTCATGAAAATGCTTGTTGAGTTTTAGCTTGATATTTTAATTTTTCAAAATTATTAATTGTTAAAATTTTATTTTACATTAAATAAATAAATAATAATTGAAAAGAGCGAATTTATAATTACAACTTATTATTTTCTAATTCAAAAAATCTAGATTAAAAACGATCAATTGGGCTTGTATATATACTTAAACGTTTTCCAAACATGCTGCATCTTTTGCTTTAAATTTTATGTCTATTAACTGAATACTTTTTTCATTTACGCAAAATAAATGTCTCCCCATTTATCTTGATTTATTCTAACCATCGATTAATTACAAAAACTTTGCAGCCTCCTTACAAATTCTACTTTTCAATTTTATCAATTAATTAAAAAATGAATTTTAAAAGCTATTAATACAGACTATAATATCGACTTTGTATCTCCGCACGTTGTCTCTTCTATTAAACCGAACCGAAACTATCCCCGAAAATATAACCCGCCTCTCAGCAATAGCGCTCTCAGCAGAGGCGCTGCTTCTTACTTGAATTTAAATTTAGACTTGTATTTCCGTACCGGAGTAGTTTTAATCTCAGTTGCGAGCAGTTCGCTTTAGGCTTTGCCTAAATATCGCGATCGACGATAAACAACGCGGCTTACTTCTGTTAAATGTATCAATTAATAATAAAAAAAAAAAAAAGTAAATGAAAGTGGTTGAGCTAACATTTATTTAGTCTATCGAATTACCCGCGGCTCGGAGGCTTGACTGGTTAATTAACAAAAAAGGAGGCTCTGATAGAGAATTTATCGTGTCGTCGGTGGATTCTGAAGGGACTCTTTATTGCGGGCGCGTTATTAAATCGATATAGTCTGTCAAGTTGGCTGGAAGCTATTCACCAGCAGCGACTCTTGGCTGTCGACGAGCAGAGCTGGCTGCTGTTACCACCCGGTTGCCCCAGTCAGTGCAGTAATAAAGACAGATACCAAACCCATCAAAGTGTAAAAGGAAAAGCTACCTTAAACTTGTTCAACCATTTTCTTTCATCTCCCTCTCTCCCGTCCGCCCTCTGTTCAAGCAGGTCTTCAACCAGCTCCTTATTACCTTTTACACCCTCCTTCCCTTTTTTACCACCCTCTCAACTGTTCAACTGTACTCCTTCCCTTTTTACCGGGTGTTCTGAGGTCTAATAAATTACTCCGGCTCTTAATTGCTCGTCAGTCAATCAAATGTTCTTGATACCGATTGCTTGTTTGATTTACTCCTCTCGGGCTTGATCGCACTAAACGACTCACCTTCGTGTCGATCGGAAGCTGTAATTCTCGTTTTATACTTGACACCTGTGCAATTAAAAACAGTTTTTAATTTGTGTCTTTGAAGTTTACGGGTCAATAAATTTGGAAAAAAATTAAATATTTTTTTTTTTAAATGATTTGAAAATTTTAAATATAAGTGATATATTTATGTATGTATTGCTATTAAAAATAAAAAATTAATAATAAATTTGATGAAAAATTAAAATCTTAATTTTGTGATCGAAATTTTGGGAATTTTTTAATTTTATTGAAATACTTTTCTTTAATTTACGATAATAATAATTAAATATTACCAAAATTTCTTCATTTCACTTAAAAAATTCCTTCTTTTAAGAAAAAAAAAAATGTTACCCCCATGAAAAAAAAAATATATGTCGAAATACACAAAATATATATTTTATATATATTAAAAATCTATAAAATATATATGAAAATCGGCCGAAAGTTAATTGAATTATTAAAAATATATTTATTATCCATATTTTTTGTCTATTGCGAAATATATTTTTTTTTCATGGGGGTACTAAAAACATTTGTAGAAAAAACTGGCAAATAAAATTTTTTATACTTTCAAACCTTAAAAAAAATTACAAGTAAAAAATTTTTTATTGCAAAAATTAAAAAAACAAAACTTAATTCGTTCAATTGTTCCGCCCAAAAAAACCCAACAAATATCCTTTTTCAGAAGCTATTTATCCATCAAAGTGTCTCATTGATAAAAGTGAAAATTTTATATCACACAGAGACTATGAATCGTCAGTGAATATGATCTAACCCAAGTGTCTTATACTTTTAATTCAGTGACAGTGGAGCCGGCCATAAGCTCACATTAGCTCGAAAAACCTACAAAAAAGGAGCGACAAAAGTAAAGACAAAGTTTTAAGATGGCAAAGTTTTAAGTTGACTCGGATGTAATGTCTTGTAGTTGTTAACTCGGTGAAGTTTGTTGACTTGGAGGCTCTAGAAATACCAACTCGGAAACATAAACTTGAGGCGGAACCGCAAGCTTCAAAATCGCTACTGGATGCGAGAGAGTAACTTTTGAAATTTGATGGCTGCGTGAAAATTAGCGTTCGAACCGCCTGAGAAAACGTTTGTCATGACTTAATGAAAAGGAGTTTGCTGTAGTTCCAGCTACTAGCTAATAGCTAGTAACTACACACATTCACATTCACACAGAGGGACTACTCACATTTGGTCTTGCGTTTACCAACACAGCGACTTCTATTTGCGTCAAAATCATGGCAAGATATGTGTTTACTCTCTCGCTCTTGCCCCGTCTTGGTCTCTCTGGTGGGTTCCAACTAAGGTCTATATCTAGCAAGAACGACAACGACAACGACAACGACGCGACGTACGTTCACCCTTGTTTGCCACACGTGTGCTAAGAATATCATCGCAACAGCAGAAGCATAAGCTACGGCTGAGGGAGAACAGATCTTCCTCTCCTCTTCTCTCCTCTCATCCACTCTCCGTCTCTTTGACTTTCGTATTATGAACTGACCTGAAAACATTTACGTCCATAATATTTATGCTATGATAAATAAATTTACGCGTCGATGTAATAAATATGTCAGAGGAACGGCGATTGATTTTCATTTGCATTATTTGTTCATCTATGGGCTGATTAATTGATTCAGTTAGTAATTAATTAATAAGGTTTAATGTCCTGTTAATTAGTGGATTTATTTACACCAAAAATGAGGCTGGAAATAATTGGGATAATCCTGGTGTCATGCACCCAAATACTGTCAGAACACCGGGACTTTTATGGCCCTTACAATCCGTTCGGACATCAAAGGCACCGGCACCAGAACTGGGACGAAGATCGAATGACTAAAGAGGTCCGCGTTGCTCAAGGGAGATTGAGGGGCTTCGTTGTTCAGCCGAAGACTAGTCCGAGGATGCAGCTGGTTGATGTTTTTCTTGGTAAGTCTCGTTAAACTCAGATGATAAAAGTCTGGGGAAAAATTTTCAAACAGCTTTATGGAATTAACTTTATCAAGTTATTTCTTTTGAAGTTCTGGTTTATGAGGTCTAGTTGCTTTGTAACCAGGGATTTATTGTTGTTATTTGGAAGAAATTTGAGAAAATTATATGGTACTGTCATCTGAAATGTTTTTTGTGTGTACTTTCGTGAAATTGAATTGATTTTTATGAGATTAACTGAAAAGTTCTAATACTTTTATTTTTACTATAATACAATAGAATTATTAAGAAGACCCGGTGGTCTAGCGGCCTAAAATTTAAGCTATTGCACGCCTCATAAGCGAAGCGTTAAGGTTGTGCTCTACTCTCGACATTTCAAAAATAGCAGTTTTTTCGAAACGGAAATTGATTTTTGTTATTTATATCGCACTTACAGGTTAATATGAGTACACTTATATCAAGTCAAATAATTTTTCAGGCACATAAAATATATTTCAATAACAATTTTTTTGTTTAACATAGTAAATAATAACATTAAACATAATTATACATTAAAGTTCTATCGCCTTGCGATCAAGTTACTAGTGAATCTTAATTCAAGCCAAACGGATGGACAGAGAGAAGGTAATGATGGAAGGGGCAATTGGTCGAAAAAATGATCGTACCGGAATAATTTTTTTTTATTATCTAAAGTAACACACAACGGATTTTCTTAATTAACATGAGCGTTCAATTCACTGTCGTTAAATTATTATTTATAAAAAACTAATATATGACTGGAATTTTTTGGTATATCTATCCATACATTTTATTATAGTATTTTTTTTTCCTCACCTTAGAGTTATGGCGCCACTAAACCATAGCAGTTTTCTGTTTTTTATTATTTTGCTTTTTATCTTTTATTTTTATATTAATCAATTTTATTGTGAAAAATGAGATTATGAGGCGTGCAATTTTGGATTTTCCAAACTTTTTTAAAAATTTTATTTCTATATGAAGGGAATAACTAATGCTTTCAAATTTTTTTACACTTATTCTATTTCTTATCAACTACACGGAAATGAAAATCAAAACAAAAAAAAATTTTTTTTTAAATTAGAAAAATTGCGCTGAAGTCACCCTCTAAAAAAAATGGACCTGATTGGTGCAGGTAGATTGATCTCTCCCTCTGATCTGAAATTAATAAATATGACTGACTTTTAATTAGTATAAATATAGTTATCGTCGGTACTAGAATGAACAAAAAAAAAAAATATTTGACAAAATGGCGCGTAGTTAAAAGTAAAAATCTGAAATTCGTTTTCAAAAAATACTTTTTAAAAAATATTGAAGAGTCCCCTTAAATGAATAAAAATCTTAATTTTGTATTTTTTATGTAAAAAAATCAATTGACCATAATGCTAAAAAATTACCTTGAAAATTAATTAATCATAAATTTTTTGTATGAAATTTTAAATTTAGCACAACAATTATTTCACTAAAGAGATAAAAACAGATTTTTATTTCAATTTTCAATCAAAAAATAAAAGAAATATTGATACAAACAGCAATTACATGTATCTAAATAACTGTTTGCTGACAATAAAAAAAAATTAGCTTCTAAAAAAAAAAATAAAACTGTTTACAGCTGAGGTGATAGTTACATTTTATTTTATTATTGGCTTTGATCATGACTCTAAATGTCATTCTTATTCTGATTGATGACTCAATTATTTTATTTATATTACTCTGCTTAAAAAAAATCTAAATTCACTTTAATCGCAGGGTGATCTTCATGAGAACTTACTTTTGATTCTTTCTAAATGCATATACGGTTATTAAAACTAAATAAAACTGAATATTATAGAAATCAATCTTTATTTTTCAATAAGTCATTAGCTTATTTTTACTCAAGTTTAATTGATGGTTAATAAAAGGCTTTGAATTATTGAAATTTAATTAGAAATATCAATAGAGATAGCCAACTTCTGAAGAACCGACAATGATATTTATAAATTTATAAGTTGCAGTTACTTCAGTCGGTCAAATACTTAACTAATAATATTCTCGATCTATTTCTTGTCTTATCTAAAGGTGAATATTATTTTAAACATCGGATAGAGTGTCTTAAGTATAAAATTGATGTCAGTCGCCGGAATACGAGACGATAATATTATATTTAATTCAAATAAAATAAGTTAGAAGTAAAATTTTCGACATATAGATCGATAAAGTATTTTAGAATTTAATGAATTTTTTTCTCAAAAATTCCTTTGTTGATGAATTATTTAAATTAAATGTTATACATCGAATATTAATTAAAATTGATTACAAAAAAAAATTTATTTACATTCTTTTTATTACAAGAATTATAAAATTGATTTTAATCAAAATCAAGTGATTGTTTATTAATGGCAGCGTTATTATTATTTTCACTTCAATAAAAAAATTTATATGATTTAAACGAGAAAATTTTATGACAAGTTTTAATAATAATTTCACTTCCCTCAAAACAAAATAAAAATCTAATCTGTCGGTGTCAAAATTTGTATAGTCTTTAAATTAATTATAATCTATGTAGCATGTCAAAAGCAGGTTTAAAACAATAATTTAGTCACCCATCCACAGATTCGGTAGAATCTGGCGCCAAGTTCCGTTCAAATCCGTTGTCAACGGAGCGCCAGACTACCGACTGTGTTTACTGTAAGCAGAACGGTATTTTGAGGTTGCAAAATTTTATTTAATTCTACGGTACTTTTTTTTCCTAAATTGTATATTATAACAGTAATTCATACTTTATTTTACTGTTATTAATTAATTATATTCACATATAACAATTAATCTACTTGAAATTACTAAATTTAATCAGCACAAACTATAGCAACGCAAAAATTTCGATCCTGACTTTTTGTCGATGGGCAAAGTGATCTGCCACAGACTAAAATATTCGAGAATGCATAGTAATCCTTCATAAGATGGGACACTACAGTTAAAAAAAGATATTTCACAACTTGCATCTACACCCGCCAGGGTGCGCTGAAATTATTTTTACATAAACTATAGCTTCAAGGGAATAGTTTGCTATAAAAAAATGCAGCCAACGCGAGATTTAAATTGATACCAATTGTAAATTTTTACTAAAATTACAAAAAATACTAAAATCCGAACAAAAACAGTTTCACTGTAAAAAAAACCGCGCCAAGTCCACGTTCATAAGACGATTAAGAAAAAAAAATTAGTTTTTTCTTTACAAAAAGATAAAAAATAAAAAAATTGAAAAATCCAAGTAACCGATATGATTGTATATGATTTTCCGAAATTAGAAAAAATTTTGTAGTAAATTTAAAAATTAAAAAAAACAGTGAAACTGTTTTTGTTCGGATCAAATATTCCAAAAACTCAATTGATAAATAAAATGATTTTCTTTGTTCGTTTTAGTCAATTTAATTACTTCTCTCCCCCTGCCACTCTCCAAATGGATAAATAACTATTTTACACGAAAACACAACAAAATTATTTTATATAATTCTGAACTATAATGCATCAGCTCGGGTAATGCATATGATAACTCGATTATCCATTTAAAATTTAATAACAGCACAGATTTGACTGTCACACGAGAATGTGATTAAAAAGTTATCCATTAAGCTCGAAGTTAAAATTCATTAATATGAACCGGGTTACCAAATAGTTTTATCGAAAATCTTTAAATAAACCGCTAAAATAAAATTAAACTTTATTAAAAGTCATATGAGTTACTACGACCAAAATAAACTCCACATTGATATTTATAATTTATATTATTATTATTATTATTACTAAAAATTTATATAAGATGTAAGAGATTAGATAACAGTTGTATAATCTTCTCGTTTTATTTATTTCGTTGCAAATCTAGTCTGAATAAAAAAAAATTTTTTTTTACTCTGGAAAAACTCATTAAAGTAATGACTCCCATTTAAATATTTATTGAAATCGCCAGCGGGTTTATTTTTTATCCACCAAGTGGCTCGATAGATTTCCAGTGTGAAATTTCTTCTATTGGCAATTTGCCATGTGTTAAAGCTTTGCTATGAAATTCCGAAGCTTTTACGTTGGAATGCCTTCGTTTTTATGTCTATATTATATATTTTTAGTTTGACATGTATGAGACGTACGGAAGAGCAAATTGGAGTGTGAAAAAAAAAATCTTTTTCCGATAAAAAATCCAAAACGATTTATTAAAAAAAAAACAAAAAAAAATCCACGTGTCGGAATTCCCGCAGCTAGACTGACGTGCGAAAATGACGTCAGGTACGCGGAAAACGAAAATTAGAGGAAGATAAAAGATAAGGATATAAAATAATAATAGTAATAATAAAAATAGTAATAGGTAGAGTGTACTGGGCGCGAAATAGAGAAAAAACGCCTGAAAAAGGTAAAACACAAACGATAAACGGAGAAAGTAAAATGGACTCGCAAGCTACGTGCCGCAGGGGGAGGTGGGGGGCAGTGAAAGATAGAAGGGGGAGTAGAGACTCGGCTGTGCTGGGAGCTTGCTGACAAACATCAACCTCGTGTACCTATTTTCGTCAACCTCGCTCTCGGCATAACACACAACTGTCTTTTATTATTATATTTTTTATTTTTCATTTCAGCTGTTGGTATTTCTTTTTATACATTTTTATTTTATTTTCTTTTTGTTTTTTTGAGCTCTTTCATTTGCTTACGGGTTGCCATCTGGTGCGAGCACATTTGCACGTCCCTCTAAGTCGTTTGAATACCTTCTCTAGTAAACTATAGTCGTATCCCAGTGAAGAGTTTTTGTTTCACGAGTGAATTTAATTTGAAATTATTTTTTATCTTTTGCGTATAATTTTACTTTCTATATATATATTAATTTTTTTTATTTTTTTGTTACAAAATTCGATCGACTCTAAATCGTACGGAGTAATTTAACAGTACGCACGCATAGAAATTATTTGTTAGGACAACAAAAACAGGGATAACAAAAAAATATGTTGTGATAACAAATGAATTTACTTACAATAACGAATTGACTAGTTTATTTAACAAGATCAACTAAGGGCCAGTTTTTCAACCCCGGGTTTAAGTATTTTATCATTGTGAATATATCTATATATAATAGATATATAGATATATTCACAATGATAAAATACAGTGAAACCTAGATAAGTGGGACCTGGATAAGTGAGAAACCTCTGTAAGCGAGACTTTTTCTCAGGTCCCGGTACCTCTGCTCTGAAAAACCTCTTTTAGTGATATTGATGAACCTCTATAAGTGAGACATTTTTTCAGGACTTACTAGTTCTTTTCTCTCGTATTTGAAGCTATTTATCCCATTGTATTGGCAACATTCTTTTAGTATGAGTTTTTTATAGAAAAGAAGTCGTTCATCATATTGTGACATTTATAGAAGACAATGTAAGCATTTTACAAGCTATGAGATTCGCTAGAAAAGCTGGGTTTTCTGTCAGTAAGACTACAATCGCAAATTGTTTTAGAAAATCAGGTTTCAAGTTACATGCGTTTGATTCACAAGGTAATGAACAAGAAAAAGAAACAACTACAATTAGTGACGATGTTTGGGCTCAAGTAATAAATGATGACAACCAGCAACTGCAATTCAACGAATATGTCAATATTGATGAGGATGTAATGACTTCAGGGGAATTGACCGATAATGATATCGTTTCTGCTGCAATCTCATGTATAGAAACAGAAGAGGAAGAAGAAGAAGAAGAAGAAGAAGAAGCACCAGTTGAGAAAGTATACACATCTGACGCGGAAAAAGCATTGTGGACATTGCATAAATATTTTGAATTTTCCAATATTAATGATAGAACTATTTTTGACAAATTATTTGCCATTGAAAAATTATTGACTGCTGATTGTAACTTAAAGCAAACTAAAATGACCGAATTTTATAAGTGAATTACTGTATTTCATATTGTATTATTTCATATTCTATTATACAGTATAGTAATGTATATTCTCTATTTCTATTTATTATTCTCTGACCTTGTCTATCTAAGTTTCCCTCTCTGTATGAGAAACTCGGGTAAGTGAGAAACCTCTATAAGTGAGAAAAAAATCTTAGTCCCTTCAAGTCTCACTTATACAGGTTTCACTGTACTTAAACCCGGGGTTGAAAAACTGGCCCTAAGTTGCAATAACAAATGAGTTTTTACTGCTCTGAAGTAAATTTTGTTGTCTTAACAAAATCGCATTGTTATTATAATAAATTTTTTGTTGCAATAACAAAATAGTTTTCTTATCAATAAAATTTGTAGCGTGAACAAGCTATTCCGTTGCTTTAACAAATCGATTTGTTACTTCAACAAAACTATTTTTTTAAAAAAATTGAAAGATTCGGTTACAATAACAAAATAATTTTGTTGAGTGAACATATGAATTACTTACTATAACCTATGTGTTTGTTAACACAACATATTATTTGTTATCCCTATATCAACATAACAATTTGTTGTCACAACTTATTTTTTGTTGCTCTAACGAAAAATTTTTCTGCGTGCGTAAAAAAATTAAAACACTATTTTATGAGAAAAAAAATAGAAATTTTTGACTGAAGAAATAAAGCTTTTATATATATTTAAAAATTTTTTGATAAAAGATTGGAATAAGGGTAATGGAAATAAGAAAAATTTAGAGGGTGCTTGGAGCGAATCGTTGGATTTTTATAATTTTATTCAGTGTAATAAATTAGCAATGAGTGAGAGAGAGATCACATTCAATTTCGAGAAAGGAATGAGCGTACCCTCGTAAAATAAACATGAAAACCAGATCAAAAGCAAATACTGAGGAACTACCTCACATTGTAATAAAGTTTATTGTACCCATCGAAGCTTGAAGAAGGACCCTATCAACCGAAAGGCTACGAAGCTTATAATAATACTATTTTCAACACCGAGATTAGGGAAAAAATTTTTTTATTTTAAATCGAGTGGAATTGAAATGGTTAAAAAAAATTGGTTGTATTGAAGCTGTGAATTTGTGGAAAAAAAATATATGGTCCATGAATCTTTGGAAGTGTATAAAATATAATAGAAGCTTTATATAGTCTGCTGATAATTTTTATCATTAATTATTATCAGCTCTCTAATGAGGTTTCTGTATATTTTTAATTGAACTTCATTTAATTATAATTTAATCATACTGTACAAAATTTGTTTAAGGATCTGAAGATTGAAATTTTTTTAAAATCAAATTAAAATAGTTGATAAGAAATAGAAATTTATGTAAAATTTTTCGAATAATTTCTTGAGGCTTGTAATAAAATATGAATAAAAATATTTTTTTAGTAAAGTCTCAATTATTTTAAATCTACACAAACACCCTTTTTTTAATTTCGAAATAATAATAATAATATTTATTAAATATCCTAGAATACATAGATCATTCGTATAATAGGTTAAAAATATAAACTTGGATAAAAATAAAATATAGAATTCAAGTCATTTGCACAGACAAAAAGCTCTAAGTCGACAGCAGTATCGTATACAATAAAAAAAGAATTTAATTACAATTTAATTACAATTCAAGTGTGTTGGAATTGCTGAATTTCAAATAGAAAAGTCGATACGGGTTATAGAGTGGGCAGTCGTTAATGAGATGTACCAGGTCGTCCTAACCACCAGTATTACATACTGAGCACTGTTGTCGGGTTAAGTTTGTATAACATATCTGATCTAGAATTAGATGGTGATAGTAATTATCGGCAAGTCTAACTTGGAGAAACACCTTTAGAAATAATTTTTTTCCTAAACTTTCTTAAAACTTTTCTGAAAAAAAAAATCTTTATAAATTTTAAAGATTAATAAATTTTTTACTGCACATGTTTTCAATATTTCACCTGAAAATTTCACTCATACAGTAACACCTATGCATTACACATTTATTACAGCTTGATTTAAAAGATCAAGAGTCATCAATCAACTTTAATACTAAACATGTATTTTTTCTTATTTTTCTTTTTCTACTTTCATGCTTATATTTATATGTCACTGTAAAAAAAATAAATGTAGGCTCCTTTGACCTTAAGCCAGATTTTTCCTAAGAAAGAAGGTCTAAAATTTAAAACAAAAATTCTGTGTAAAACAAAGTCGACAGTCGTCAGAGCTTTTTTGCATAGCTCTAAACCGTCTGAAAGTAAACTTGACATCCGCACAGTAGAGTCCAGATTTTAAGAATAAAAAACACATGTATGCAGAAAAAGAATATATAGAAGCTAGCGGTCCTCAGTTCTCAGTTCCGTTCCCCCTTACACGACCGTCAACTTGCCAACGGCTTTGTGCCTCTCGGTAGACTCAGCGGTTTTATTCCCCGCGGCACGACCGGCTTTTATTGCACTTGACCTAGAATATTATGCGGTTAAAAAGACGCAGTAACATCCATATGTCATCCGATACCACTAAATAAATTATGTAACATGTAACATTACATTAAAGTTTATTAAATGTCGAATTCATACATATATATGCCAGTATGTTGATATTTATTGATTTATTTATTGTCGTTTCAGGAATCCCTTACGCGGAGCCACCAGTGGGACCGTTCAGATTTTCACCACCACGATCACCGCGACCCTGGCGAGATATACGACCGGCTCAGGAGTTCGCTCCAGTCTGTCCGCAAGTCCTGCCAACTTTACAGCTCGAAGCTCCCGAACGAACCGAGTATCTCGGGCGATTGCTATCCTACTTAAAAAATCAGAGCGAAGACTGCTTGTACTTGAATATTTACGCTCCTCATCAGGTTGAAGGTAAGGAATCATTTTCTCTGAATCATAAAAGTTATTGTTATTACTAATCCCGTAATAAATTAAACACATAAGATTGTTAATAAGATTATCTTATGGTAAAAAATTGAAGATTTTACTATTTTAAAGAGCGGAAAATTTTTATGTTGGCATATCAAATTTTACAGAGTCAAAATTTTTTCTATGCAGCTTAAGAAGATTTTTCATGATAAAAGTTATTATTACAATTTTGGGAATGAAAAAATATATATGTAATCCTGGAAAAATTACTATGTTAATATTGGAATTTTTTTCTTCTATTGAATTAAAAATTTAATTTTGATACAGTGATGGGTATTTTTCAGAGGCAGCAGAAAAATTTCTCAGGGATTTTTTTATGATAACATAGCAATTTTTTCTGCGTAAAAAAACTTAATAGTAAAAAATTTGCTTTTTTTATAGATAAAAAAATTATTCAATAGTTCATGAATTTAAGTTATATGTAGAATCTTGTATACAAAGCAATTTTTACTATGCTGGCATGAAAATTTTTCCTGCGCCTATAAGAATTTTTTCCATCCAAAAATGAGATTTTTTCTTCTCCTAATTGCAAGTAAATTGTTCCCCTGTCGTCGTTAAAGAATTACCATTTCAATATATGTAGACGAAATTAATATGCTGGCGTATGAAAAATTCCCATGTTGGCATAGTAAAAATACTTCTGTTAAAAAAATTTCAGCTATATTAAAGTAGGAATTCCGTTGTTATTCTATTGAGGAGAAATTGTTCCAAATTACGAATATTTTTTCCATTTTTTATATAAGAAATGCTTATATTAACACATTAAAAATTCGTTTGCTAACCTAAGAATTTTTTCCACGCAAAAATGGAAAAAATTTCTATTTTAATTTTATTTTATTACAGAAAGATTCAAAAATTTTTCTCAATAAGCAGATAATTATATTATAATAATGAATCATAAAGTTTCAAGCGCGTATTTACTATTTCCTCAATTTCTACTCAGGATAATGACGGAAGTAAAAATAAAGTAGGATAATTTAAGGCGTAATTACAAGAAATCCGGCCCCTTTTACTTAGAAAGATCTTTTAATCCTCGAATTTCAATAGAAATTACAAAGCATTAGATCAAAGCATTATCTTTTCTTTGTAACATTATACGGTGATAAGAACTTTGGATTCATTCTGAGAGAATAATTTACAATGACTACGATAAGTTTTATTTTTAATGGACTCGCTTTCTCTTAAACTCCCTTTACTTTAAACTTGCTCTTATTCTATTTCTATATCAAGGGATACTTTCGAATTGGCAGTGGAAGTTACGATTATCATCGTTTCCCAGTGAACGAGCTTCAAAGTGTTTCTAGAAACTTGCCTTTAAGTCACTACTGGCTATACTACGCTAACTACCAATTCGTTTCTCTGTAAATACACATACCTTATCTCTGCATATAGTGCACTATAGTTTCAGTATGAGATCGTTAAGATTAAGGAAACAGCAGTTAAACTTGTCTTCGTTGAGTCCATTAGCATGAGTAACTTACCCGGTTAATTTTCTGAGTGATATCCGTCTGAGATTCTACCTGACCGCTGTCGATTTCGTGTTGTTTTACACCCCCGCCCTTTTTTGGAGTTGAGTGTGAGCCGGAATTTATTAAATTTCCAATTCCGCGAGCGTAAAAGTTATTCACGTTTCACTGGAGTTGAATCCCAGTCAATGATTCTGTTATTTGTGGGCGTTGCGGGTGAAAAAATCGTCAGTTGGGATTTAGAATTTTAATAAAATTTTATCGAAATATTTTACAACTATTCTTCCAGCTAATAATCGCATTTAAAGGTGACACACTGTTACTAAATCGACAGTAAAAAAATTATTTGGTTCAAGAAAAATGTTAGGAAAAAATTCCAGAAATTTTTTTTTAAATATAATATATATGATCGTATATTCGCAAGAGGAAAAAACTAAAATATTTAATATTTACGGAGTTATATTACATATTAAAAAGCGTCAGAGCCTGAATTATTTATCCAAGTTAAATTTTCAACGCAATTTTATCGAGAGTTTATTTTTATAAATTGCTCATGCTGTAACTCTAAAAGTTATTGATCAATTTGGCTAAAATTTTTTTCTACTTTTCTCAATATTATTATCGGAAGGATGTATCTTAAATTTTAAAGATTTCGTGTAATTAAATAACTTTTTTGGGATGAACAAATGTCGAACAAAAAATCACAAAATTGATATTTTTTTTTTTAATGAGCTTATTTATTTTTTATTTCATATATTTTTATCATTTTAAAGGTTTATCCTTCTCGTACATATGTCAGAAGCAATAAGCTATTTTTTAGTTTCACATCAATCGAAATAGAGTGAGATGTACAGTAGGGGAGAGGTGCTGCAATTGTAACACTCAATAAAAAACTATTAAAACAACTAAAAATTATTATTATTCTTTTTTTAACTTCTTCAAAATAGTAATTTATTGATTAGATCAAAGTTTTAGTTATTAATCTTGTTCCGATACCAAAATATTGAGAATTGTTAAAAATACGCATGAAAACTTTTGTTTGTACGCTTCACAATTTTTTTAATAAATTTGGTTTCTAATGTTATGATGTGAGACTTGTATTAATACTTTAAGAGACATATCAAGAGTATTGTAAAATCGAATTTTATATCAATTTACTGATTTTTGTTATTGTAATTAGATTTTTATTAACAGATCAGCGTGAGCGTCAATTGTAACACTTGAACGAGTAGCAATTGTAACACAGAGTCGTGTATGGAATCGGTGCAAACTGGATGCGCCACAAATCTACTCTGGGATACACGGAGAAAATGAAACAGCAATGATTACAGTTTTTTACAAATATTAGAAAAATGTTCATAGTCAGTGGTGAGTGCTGTACGAAACAAGACTGGTTAGTGCCAGAAAACGACTCAGTAGTGTACAGACAATAGTCAGTAGCTTTTATGTAGCGCTCTCTACTGTCCCAAACATTTTAACCTCATTTTCTTCCAAAACAGTACTGAGTACTGTACAAAGCAGTAATCAATGTTGTTTTTTTTTCTTCGTGTAGTGTAGTTTGTGTATATAAGTTGTATATAAGTATATTGTTTATAAGTTTAAATACTTGACTTTAAGAGTTAATGAAGTATAATATATTAATTTTTTAATAAGTTAACATTGACTATTTATTAATTAACTAAGTCAGTCACATAAAAGATACTATCAGCTAACTTTCTGACAGTTTTTTAGTTTACTATCTTAAAAAAAAACAAATGGAATAAAAAAAATAAAAATTTTTGTTACAATTGCGCAGCACCTCTCCCCTACTTTTAAAGCTTGCGCTAGAATAGTTCATAAAAAATTTCAATGAGCCGTCATTTTGCAAAAAAAATTGTTTTTTTACTATTCAAAGTTCAAATAAAATGTTAAATATTCTACAAAACAATTTCTACACTCCACGAGTGACGGGAAAATTTTCTCCAGTGTATAAAAACTCCTCATAAAATTTCCTTTGAAGTCATTGAAAAACTAACTGAAGGAAAAATCCATCGCACGTAACATTATATCTCGAAGATAATCTAGCTTATGTTGTTGAATAAAAAGTATTTTTTGACGTATATTATGGATAAATCTTACGACACACACCCGGTCTGGCTCTCGACCAGTCCGATATTCTATAGTGTAGAGCAAAAAGTGAAGCGCATGTGAATTTCTTCACAAAAGAGCTGGATAAGTCTTAAGACGTTTGGCGAAAAGATATCCAAGCACCGGCGAGTGTCGGGAATGCACAAAGACCGACAGATGGGGAAGCCTGTGCCGGTTGACGGCCATAAAGGATGCAGGAAAATATGAAAACGAATATTATAAGAGAATGAAAATAGTGGAGGCCAGTCGCGCTTCCACGTTATGGAAGCGTCGATCTACGAGTTCGGAATTTGTTATGAGACTTTTTAAATCCAAACACACGGTTATATTCCTCACGCTTTTGAACTTGGCTCTATAAAACCCAACCATTATATTTATATTTATATTTTTTTATGTAATATTTATTTTATGGCTGACCGCTATTCTCCATTACTTTACGGTCGAATCACAGCACAGATTATTTATTGAATTATTTTTAAAATTTTTCCGGTGCAAAATTCACGGACGAGCCGTTGTGAAATGTAAAAATATTTTATAATTTTTTCACCTACACAGTTCGTTAAAGCTCACAAACATTCAAAACTATTTAAATTTTTTTTCACTAGTTTATTTTTTTTTATCTTTATTTCCTCGGATATCTACAGATAAAAAAAAATAAAAACAAAAAGTTTAATTATTCTGCCCGTTGTACGTTTATAGGAGAATAAATAACAAGAATACTATTTTTTTTTTTTTTCGAGTCCTTTTTTTAAGCTCTTTTATTATTAGCCGTATTTATAATCTGAAAAAACAACATTTCAAATTCGTTAAATCAGAGATAAATAAATGCCTCTAGCGCAATAGCTATTTATAAATCAGAAAATATATTGTTTTCAAATAATAAAAATTACTGCTGGAGGCAAAAAAGACGAACCAATCAGTGAAAGTCGAGTGATTGATTATTTTCAAATAAAGTTGAACGAATTATTCAAGTTAATGGATATCAATAATACTTACCAGTTTTTTAGCAATAAAAAGCTTTCATGGATTATATTATTTATTCCATATTTTATGTCGTAGTATTTTTTTTTTATTCTAGACATTAATTTTTTTGATTGATAAATTTTTTGTAAATTGACATTTTTGATTTTTCTGAAAAATTTTATGACACAGCCAGTTTTCATGTATAATCTGATGTGGTTAAATTAAAATTAAAAAAATGCAATTTATGATAAAATTTAATTTTTTTTTTTTTATATTTCGTATGACAGCATGATTTATTAAGCAAAAAATTTGGATTTTTAATTGAATAAGCTAAAAGCTCGTTATGATAATAAAAGTTTTTAATAGTTTATTACTATTTTTATTAAT